CAGGTCACGTTGCAGTCTCTCAGCGTCTTGTTGCGCAACAATTTTATCTGCTTCCGACGTGGTCAATCGAGCCTCCAGGTCGTAGAGTTTCTGGCTGTCAATCGAGCTCGCATGCTCCTCGCTTTTCGCCATCAACGCGGCCTTCTCCACCTCATTTGAAATCTTTATTTTCTCGATCTCCGTCAGTAAATCCATGTATCCCTGTTCGTACTCAGCAGCTCTAGAACGGGCCTCGCGCTCGTCATCCTGCAACGTCTCATTGGCTGCTTGCAGCTCTTCTATTCGGTCACGTAACAAGATCAACTCCTTCTCATGAGCTTGGCACTGCGTCGCAAGAACTTCAACCTGATGAAGTATACGCGCAGACTGTTAATAAAAATTATGTTTAGTAAAACCAATAATATTATGGTCACCTGAGTTTGTGCGTGTTGTAATTCCTGTACAAGTCGATCATGATGCGACCCTGCATCAGATCCCTCTTCATTTTGTACCACCGCATCATGTCGGGCAGCTTGCAGCCTCTCAATAGTGGCCTTTTGCTGAGCAATTTCTACCTCCTACAAAAAGATATACAAATTAATATTTATAGTAGAATATAATAATGGAAAAACTCTCGTTACCTGCTGCTTCAATTGTGTTTTTAGCTGTCGTTCCTCCCCTGCGCGAGTCTCTAGCTCGAGGATCTATTTCACATCCACGTCATTAAAAAAAATAATTTAAAATATTTGAATAAGAATAAAATTCGTCACTTTTTGATCGTACTTTCGCCTCCAGCGTCTCGTTCTGTTTCTTCCGCTGTAGTAGAGCGCGCTCCAACTCGGAGATATACTGCTCTTGCTCGTCTTCTTCGGCGACAACAGCTGTAGCGCTGGGCGACGACGGGGGAGGAGGCGCCACGACGGCGGCGAAGCGACTCCAAAGCTGGTCCTCGTCCTCGCGGTCCTGCTCGTCGCCATCCTCAGGCGCCACGATGTCGGCCAGGCCCTCGGTAAGACGCGACCACATTATTTGTTCGCTGTGGGGTCCACACTATTCCGTGTCGAATAGTACACCTACTATGCCGTAGTACCGTTTTGCTATACAGCAACTTTGTATTAAAATACTGCAATTGTAGTAATTAAGATACTTTTCTCGGAGATCATACATATCGTTTGGAACTATTATTAATATTAAATTTGTTCTTTTTTCACAAGAGACACTGGCTCTGTGGAGTAAGTATTGATACATGTACTATTAATACCTAGCATAAATTATCGGAGGGATCTTACATTGAAATTCATCGCATAACACTCTGGCAGCATTGCATCACATTGTGGGCCCGAGGTACACCATTACTGTCCCCACAACAATAGTCTGAAGACTTTGTAAATACGATCGCTGGATAGTTTCAGAAGACCCAGAGAATTTATATTTGTGGACGAGCTTCGCTGGTAGAAATACGAGTGATATCGAGGCGTATTATTAATACGAGGACAAGATCTAATTTTGTACTTCATCATTCGTACCAACGCGGTGCTGTCCAGTACGTTTGTAGTAAATTGGAATAGAGTTGCTTCATAGAAATTGTTGTGCTCTGAGGTGTACAATAGATGTGTTAATACATACACAGACGACCCCCTCGGTAGCAATACCTAGTCTTGGAATACTTCCTCACTAGCAATAAATTACCAAAAACCCAAAATATTATTCCCTCACATCCTTAATCGTATATTACAATACATTTGAAGTCGATTATTCCTATTACGGGGTGATTAACTATAGGAAAAGGCATAACTACACAAGAGTGATATTGCTGCCACGTCCGATCCGAATGTTGAACCAATGAAGCCCATTGTTTTTACCACTCTGGACGTGACTCGAGCTTTAGGATCGCGGAAAAGCGTTCTGCCTTCATTCTAATTGCCTCATCCATGACGGTGAACACCTTTCTAGTCGAGTTTATGATGGCGCACCGCGTGCCGCAAATTTGTGGCCAACTGCGAGACTGGAGGTGACTCCAGCGGTTTCTGCGCATTAATAGCCACCAGGTTGCCTGTCACGAAATCAGAGGGAGTTCATAGATCTGCTAACCCATGAATCTAGCTCTGTTTGGGACAAGTTAGGGATGTGAGCATGGTGCTAGCATATTTGTACAGCAGTCATTGAGTGTTGGTGCGTGTGAGGCGCACTGGCTGGGCTTGAGAGGAGGGTGTCTTGGTGTGACGAGGCAAACTGGCAATAGGAGAGCAAGACAGAATGAAACACCAATAACGAGCTACATCCATTTGTAAATTTGTGCACTATTCCAAGCTGAAGGTACTCCGATCCATTTTTGTGGGACATTCATGGATAGGAATATCCTTACACAGGAATAAATTGGATACCCAGCCGATGACTACCGAGGGGATCGTCTGTAGATACATTTCAAACATTTCAAACAATAAAATTAACTGTACTTACAACCTGTGCACTGAATAGAACCGAGGTGAATTCGGCGTATGCGAACGCTAAATTACTTCGCCGTATCGCCATCATGATGCACAGAACAAAATGATTTGTTTCTGGTGCTTGTAAATGTAGGGTATTGAGCATGATTCAGCAACTTGTTGCTTTGTTCCCCATTTGGTCGATATCAACAAATCCCGCTCTCCATTTCACATGTGTTTAGAATTCATGGCAGAATAATGGGACGAGATCTGAAAGCATTAATACCGGAAGCTCAGTTGTATG